GGACATCGACTGGAGCAGGGTGAAAATCGTGTCGAGTACGTGGTCGCAGAGGTACGACCCCCCCCCCCCCGAAATCGAGATCCTGGCACGACCCCCTCTAACAGAGCAAATTAATTCAATTAAAATAAATCCTGCAAAACAAATCAAAAAAAATTCTGCAAAATAATGCTAAGGACGCTTCATCTTGTCATCTATGCACGTCTTCCATCGCTGCATACTTTTGTGTACATACTGAAATATCGACTCGAGGAAAGAGGCATTAACTTTGTGTGACCTCAAGGCGAGGTTCGTTCAGAAACGCACAGAAATCCTGAAGACACGGGGTTGCGATTCAATCTTGATTCTTGCTTGAGTATATCAAAACAGCCGAGTGTATCAAAGGCCGATTCAACGGCAGCTGCGGCGCGATTGTCACTGGGTCAGATTTGCCGAAATTTCAAAAAAAAACGTCCGAATCTACACCCTCGATGAAAAGGTTGCATTCCTCCATTTCACAACCTTTGAAGCAGCTTGAGGTAGAGTTAGATAGAGCTGGATTTCGCGTTTCCAACAAGCATCGAAATTGCTCTGGAAGCCTTCCTTGCAGAAAGATAGGGTCTCTCAAATTTCGTCGAGTAAATGTCGAGGAGGCCGAAATTTTCACTCGAGTTTTTGCCACTTCAAGAGCAATATATCCTTATATTGTAAGATCCTGAAAAAGGGAAGATAGTTTTGGAAAGCGGAAGGTTTGCGCTTCCTGATGGTCTGTTTAGTTTTCTTCTACAGCTTTTTGGTTGAAGAGATAATTGCGTCGAGGATCTATCGAGGTCGGATCCGGCCACCTGGAAATCCGCTCCCTCATTCACCATTGCAAGTGTGACTCGTTGGCAACACTCGGAATGTGTCTAGAACAATATCTTTGAACGCAAACAATAAGAATAGGAGCAATCGTCATCATCCGATTTGGTATTGGTATAAGCCATGCATCCCTCCTCCACTCACAGTTGCAGAATCGATTGAAAGGTGTTATATGATGGGGACCTTCGAACGAAACTGTATTAGTAGACATAGTGTGTTGTGCTATTCCTGTAACCTAAAAAACAACTTCATTTGCCCAGCGCTTTTTCTTCACGGTTGTCGTTTTTCCGACAGGGTCCCTAACAACAGCGTCATTCTCAGCGAGGTATTAAGGGAGAAGGAGCGAGTGATAGGCGGAGGAGGTGCCTTTGCAGCGCGTGCGCACATGTGGCACTCTTCTTTGCGGGGATGCACTTTCATTCTTTGTACTGCCTTCAAATACGCCCTTCTCATGAAGGTGGAGGAATGGAGCGACTGAACCTGCAAAGAAAATTTAATATCATGTTTTTTCGGATTTTTCATTTTCTGCTGCGCTATACCCTATTACCTATCTGCACCATGATACCACTTCTGTTACTGACCCCAAGAGTACGACCCCCCATGGACCAGCCCAACAGGTACGACCCCCCTGTCGAGGATTTCCTCGACCGATATTCACCCTGATTGTCACTGGATCGGGTAGGAAAGCTCACGCCCCCGCGAGCGCAGCATGTCAGGTACGTCAACAGCTGCGACAAACCGCAACGAAAATGCCACCGCATACCTTGCTCGAACGAATATACTGTTGCTGCACAATGGGTAACCTATTAGTCATTAGGAAAGAAGAGTGAAATGATTTTTTCTTGTCAGCCGAAGGGAGCGGGAATTTTCAATCGTCTATTGTTACAAGTAGCACCCATGCGTAAACTCAATTCTGCAGGATTTAATTTAGTCCAGTTCTTGTGAGTCTTTCTTCGATTTTGATTCCTAGTTACACCACTACTTACTACACAATGAAATTGGAGCACGATAAATGCTCTTAATATGTGTTGAAGTCTTGCCGGCAATGCTGATCATTGCTGGATAACCCGCTGCCGTTATGACGACAAAGACGTCTCCAACACGCGAACGCGTCCGCGCCGCCAGTGAGCCTTTCTATAAGCCAGTTACATCGGAAGCGCAAATCACGGGCAAAGAAGGGGTCCCATTCTCGGGTTTAAGGCCATTTTTCTCGGTTTTTTCTTTCGTGTATAACTGATAATCTTTAACATAATTCCACCATGGGCTGCTTTTTCATCGTCAAATTTGCCTTCAAGTGTTTGATAAATCACATCTCATTGATCACACCGTCGTATCCCGAGTCCACATCATTTCAGGTTTAGCCACACGAAGGACACGCGCCGTGTAAGCTGAAAATCAGCCTTTCGAATGCCGTATCCAGAATGGAGGCCGACAAACAGTGCCAAGGACTCGACATGAGATCATTCCTTATGCTCCCGATGCAACGCGTCACAAGGTTCTTTCATTAAATTTCTCGCCGAAACTTCTTTATAGCTGCATGGTCCAGCCAATATGCGCACTCAGAGCTAGGCAGTTGCCATCAATTAGCAAGGACGCCTAGGCGCAACTATCCACCCACGCGAACTGTGCAATTCAGCACTGTATGAATTGAAGAACGATTTTGATTCCTGCCAAACATGGCGCAATGCAGCTATTTGGACCCAGATAGAATTTTTGCGTTAAGCGTGTGCGGCATATGACTTGATATCTACTAACGAAAAGGAATCTTGCCCGTTCCCAAGAAACTCACCTTCCCTGATATAAACCCACTCGCAAATACGTTGAAGTCGGCATCCCTACTCCACTGTAGGAACTCTACAATATTTTTCAGATCCGCTTCTCGTGTACCAATTTGATCTGCTTTCACAGCGCGCCCCACGAATATGAGTTTGCAACGAGAGCTTTACATGCGGCTAACAAGGTTTGTTTGCAAAGAATTCTGTGGAACTTTGCAAGAGTTTCTGGTCTTCCACCATTACTTAACTTTTAAGGATGTTCCTGTATTCGAAATTAGCGACGCTGTTTACGGTCGTGTTCACAATGCGCTGCTATTTTTGGCAAAATAAATGTTTAGGTGGTGGGTGAATGCAATGAGGGCGCTCGCAGAATGGAACGAACAGAACAGTTGCTTGAAGTGGATAGTCGGCTAATCTACAAGGATCCAGACCTTAAGTGAGACCAAGAAGAACTTTTCGGTTGACAATCAAGGAAAAAAGCAAAATTCTTCCCATTCAGAAAGATCGCCCTTGTCTCGAATTGTCGATATCTTGTCAAGAGAGGTTCATTGGTGCAACTGTTGGAAAGGAAAAACAGGAACATTCTGCAGGTTCGAAACCTTCTCTGCCATATACTGGTTTGATTATTTATTGCACATACATATGTAGGTGCACCATATGTATGTGCAATAAATAACCAGCAGTGCTCCAAATTAAGCAAATGTAGAAGCAATCAAGCACCTAAGAAAAAAGATAGACATTAAAGCGCAGGCCTTTGCAAACACACTCACCAACTGTGTTCAATGCTCATCCTCTAAGGGAGAGCAACAAAAAAATTATTGGGTGCAAGGAATGCCAATGCTGGCCGCGAACAGTGTAATTTCAAAAGAGCTAACAGATAAACACTAATTCACTCGCGTGAACCCAAGCTTTGTTGTCAAATACTGCAGCATGTTCACCTAGAGTTCAACATATTCCCCCCCCCCTCCCCTGCCTCCACGTTAACCCTTTGGCGACAATGGCACCCACCGGTGGGTGCCACTATGACCGTCGCGTGGGACAATGGCACCCAATGGTGGGTGCCACCCTAAAATTTTCTTCTTTACCCATTTAAAACATTTTCAACATATCAGTAATTATAAGCAAGCTCCGTTACGCCTATGTTTAGCATATTTTGCAGAAATGTTTGTTACTAGCTAATTTATATGAAATTTTAGGATATGGCACTTCGCTCGGCGATGTATTAACTAGTGTTTTACATTATTAAGCTTAAGGTGAATTACAGATCAGGACCTCTACGTCTTTTCACAGTCTTAAGACACAAGGAGGAGTTTGAACTATATCAAAAATTCTACTGTACATTTGAACTTCTAGAGTTTTCAAACACCATCCCTTTGAAATCCGAGATTTCTTTCCAAACTTCCACTTCTAATTCCAACAATACA